AATTCTTCATTTCCTCCCTATACCTGAAGTTAAGGATCGAGTGAATGTTCACCCTTCTTTTACACCTCTTGACCTTTGACCTTTTCCCCCCAGCTTCGACATCCCAACTCGTTTTCGGATTACCCCCCCACGTCCCAAATATCGTGACCGTACGTCGAGCGGTTAAGATTTGTGCCCAACTGTTGACGCACGCACGCACGCACGCACGCACGGACGCACGATCATGCGATTCTACAAGCTGCATCCGACTACGTCAGATGAGCTAAAAACTTATTGTTTATTGTTTTTCACTGAAAAAATATAGTTGGATTCACATAAGAAATATATGACCGGACGCATAGCGTGGGAGCTGGGCGTCCGATAACCGGACGCGTAGCCACAGCCAATAAAAAATGGCAAGAAGGCATAGAAGGCATAGAAGAAAGGAAGAAAGGAAGGGAGGAAGGGTGTGTGGAGTAGCAACTGCAGGAAGCATCTTTACCAGGAAAAAAATTACTTTTTTTTCACGAGAGCTCTTTTTCAAGTCTGTGGAAAAAATAGCTCTCGTCAAAAATGTTACGGGAGCAATTTCGCAGGTTTGAAGAGCTCATCGCTCATCGCTCCCGTGTATTTTTTACACTGATCTTTACCTTCCTGCTGGCGGGTGTGTTCGGTGTAGTGTTCTGCACAATCTTCATCAGGTTCTCGCTGGAGTTCTCGGGTGACATTGTTGCACTCGATGCATTGTCGCGCGACGGCGGCGGCGGCGGTGCGGCGGCTGACGTGTAGGAAACTCCCGTCGACGCTGCAGACACAATACAGGGTGCGAAATTAACGCGAGTCCGGAGTCAAATACTCCCCAATTTACTGCCAGACTCCCTGATTTGACAAATGCAAGAGTCCGTGTGACTCCCTGAAAATGTTGCCATACCAACGAGTTCGTTCCTGAGCACGGCCTCGCGGAATAACCATATTTTTTCAGCTAATGGCAGACGTGCAACTGCATGAATCTTACAAATAAGCACATGCGTTATTGTTAATATCTTTAATTTTGAACTTCAGACTGCGGACTCCCTCATTTTTCCGCAGACTCCCTCTTTTTGAGGGTAGGGAGTCCCTTGGACTCCCATGGTCAAAAGTTAATTTCTACCCCTGCAATACGCGCCGGTGAGGGAAAACCAACGCTGGACCTGCTAACATCACTGCTGTCTGGCCATCGAATCTCTTCTCAGACCGGATTTGCACTAGGGTTGGCAAGGAGAAAGTCTACCGCTTGTGATCTACCAGAGTAACAAATTTCTTAAAGGTGGCTGTTGCATGTGTTTAGTATTCGCAAGCCTTTTGAAGAAGGCTATATTACGTTACTATGCAAAGTAACACCAGCGATATGAAGGATGGACCATAGAGAGGCTGGCTCCTTCTCATCTGAGTGGTGAGCTACGTAGGTAATATTGACCATGCAATTGCAGCGCTATGTCCCGACCAGGAGGAAGAGAATCAGCTATGTACACGACACGCCCAAACACTATTCACACCAAAGAGAAATTTGCATACGTCAGCCGTTCATTGCCAAACCAAACATCAAGAAGTACCGAAATCTTGTAATAAATGTATTGGGCTTTCATAATAACATAAGAGTAATTATATTTCATAATAAATACACGTAATTAACCTGCTAGCAACAGTTTCGACAACTGATCAAGCTGCTGCCAAGCTCTATCAACAATGCTCAGCTCGAACCACCCGCTGAATGTGTTACAAACAGGGTAATTACACGGATTTGTCGTCATGACACAAATCCGCACAGATAGAACACCTACACGTCTGCACGTTGGGCGGGGCAGGCTTGGGACTCGGCCGTGGACTGCTGCTGTCGTCGTCACTGATGAAGAACTTGACGGGATCCTTCGAGCGCTCGATAACGACGACGGGCGACTGCGACACCTGAGGCGTCGCAGGCGACGGCACCTGCACGAGTATGGAAGAAAATCGAAGGTCAAAGGTCGGCCACTCAGTCAATTGAATTACCTGTCTGAATGAGGTTACACCCCTCCCCATATACTGTTGCTAGGTTTATCAAGCCACACCAATTTGTATAAGGTTTTCCACGCATATACACGCCAAAATGCTGACTTTGCTGCATCTCATTATTATATTGTTTTTAGAAAGGCATACCACAATGCTGATTGGCTAAAGTTGAGGCTGAGCAAGAGTCGAACTCTTGAGGCAGATAGATAAATTAAACAAAAGATAAGATAGAATTAGATTAGATTAGATTAGATAAAATTAAAGTCTTCACGAGGATTTTGTGGCAAAAAAATTTTGAGGCAGAAAATGCTCACAAAGTTCATAAATCGTTGTTGTACACAATACGTAAGGTATAGGATACTTGTCATGTGGCAGTATGATTACAATGAAAGTGTCAATGACACTGTAGCTCACCTTGGGTGTGATAGAAGAGGGAGGGGGGATATATAAAGCAAGAGTATATATGGGAGAACTCCCATTATATAGCATATCTCCCATTATATACTCTCGATAATGATATATGCAAGTTTTGATGCGAAAATAAATGTTTCAGATCTGAAAGTCTGAAATCTTGACGAGAGATGGCGCTACGCCTAAATGATGGCCTTTTGGTTTTCGTTCAGCACATGGTTTTTGAACCAATAAAGCACCTAGTATATAAGAACCACTTCAGCCTGATAAATTAAGCAGGTTCTTATATAAAAAAAATACCGAAAATTAGAGGAAACTGGGGCAATCCAAGTATGTGTGCTACACCATTGGAAACCAACATGTAGTTCATCGTCAATAACAGTGTCAATTATTCACTAAATAAAGCCAATTTTACCTAGATAATGTACACAATATCCCCCCCAAAATTAAGAACCTCTTTAAGAACCTCTTCATGCTGATTTCTCACTATGTATCATATATATAAGAACCACTTCAGCCTGAAACAGAAAATCACGGGTTCTTTTATGCGGGTGTTTACTGTATAGGTCTAATTGTAGAGTTGTTGACCAGTTAGACAAAATAAACGTAATAGGACGTTGTCGATATCTCTCCCATAGGAGTAACAACTGTTTTGGGGCTAGCCTTACACATTCACATACCAAATTTTAACAAAATCGAATGAATTTAGATGGCCATTTTCATTTTTTCCAAAAAGTTGGCGTAGCTCGAAAGTAGGTCGACTGGCGTGCTCCAAAATAGGACGTTCAAACCTCTCCCATAGGAGTAACAAGCAGCCTAAAAACTTTTTTTTTTACGAGAGCTCTTTTTTGATTTTGTATGAAAAAAGAGCTCTCGTAATTTTTTTTACGGGAGCTATTTTAGGCTTGGCCAGAGCTACTTTTTCATAGCATGATTTTGTAAAAATTTTCATAATTTTGATGCACTGACTCTAATATCATTCATCAGCATTCAGCACTCAGAACTAGTATCAGACTGTCAGTGTTAAGAAATCGTCAACAAATTACCCCGGCCCCCCACTCCGAGGTCGGAGGGACCGCATGCGCGTTCCCAAAATCGTTACGGGTCAGAAGCCGCGGGCGCACCCCCCAATTTTTTCGCGCTGACAAAATCCGGCGCCCAAGAATTGCCCCTCAAAAAAGGCGGGCCTGTATGTTGACATTTCACCCCGGAGATTTCTTTAAAAAGGGCGGGTGTTTTTCCCTCTACTCTGCGTCAATCTTGAATGTTCATAGAAAAACTTTATCGAAATCTGGGATCAAAAATTCCTGAAATTCCGCCTATGTTTTGCAAAGCTCATTCAGGATTATTTAATTTTGAAATGTAAAAATATTGCCCCCTAGTTCCCCTCAATCACTGAACTCTACACTACGTAGTGTAGAATGGTTCGACAGTTCCACACGCTACACTAACGTCACTACGGTTGGAATGAGAGCTCACCTGAGATAGGGGGTACATTGAGCAGTATTCCGGATTTAGGGGGGGGTCTCCAAGGCAGGAAAAACCCGCAAAAAGCCCGCAAAAGGGGGTTCAGAAATTTCAGCAGTCCTGAGATAGGGGGGTGCTTTCAAAGGGAGGGAACGAGCATATGCGTACCCTGACTAACACTGAGTGGGGGGGGGGGGCCAGGCAAATTACATTCGATCACATATTTTTTTATCTAATTTCACTCGACTAAGAAACCAAACACATTCTTATTCAATTTCATTCACACAGACAGACATGCACTACACGGTACACATAATCAGGTAACATGACAAAGACAGGAAATCCAGAATTATAATTATGGTAATGATGGTATGGTTATTTTCAAGTTTCTTTTTTTTACTTCATTTCTTTTCATCTTTCAGCTTTCTTTTTACATCGACTGAGCAAGTTCAGAACTTCAGAGAGAGTTTTTAGTTACTTTGAGTATGTTAAAAAAAACTTGTACTGGAATCTCTAGGAATGCCCGGAGCTTCTGGGCAAGGTTTTACTTTCGCTTTTCTCCTCCCCAGTCCACGGTACCCCTATGCATAGATCAATGCTGCCGCACATCCGCAAAGTTACAAGTGCCTAGAATCTAGTATATACAGTTTACATTGCTTCTAGATATCTAACTGAATAAAAATAGTCCACTTTCTACGTTAAGAAAAGTGACGAATTCAGTTAACAGCTTTGATTACGTGCGTGTCAGGTGTCACTGGTCGTGCCCTCACTCCCCACGATAACCCCTGCGATATAAAAACTTATTGTTATGCGGTCATAAAAACTGCACTACTGTCTACATGCCCGCAATCGATTTCTTAGACTGTCGCGAGTTTTTGTTCGTGTGGCGAATCATGCGTTGAGGGAGTTCATGCAGAATGTATATGTGTATGTTTTGGATACCCCGTCTACGTTGAGGAACGGGTCGTATTATGCGCTCCCGTTTACAAGTCTGCCGTTGCGCTAACCGTAGTATTTCATCGTAATATGAGGGGAAAAAGTGCCGGTCAGGAGGACCGGGAGTTTCGTAGAGATGGTGGCCCGAGCAAAAACTTGGTGGGCTCGGGCACAGGCACTTGAAGCGTATCAACTGTAAACACACGCCGCCGCCATTGCGCGTACACTGACACATAAATATATAGTATATATAAATATACACAGTATATATTAATATATACTGACACACTATATATTTTTGTGTCAGTGTACGCGCAATGGCGGCGGCGTGTGTTTACAGTTGATATGCTTCAAGTGCCTGTGGGCTCGGGCCTCCGGTTCGAACGCTGCCGGCGGCACAGGAGCGATTTTTTCTCGTATCTTCCAAAATTTTCGCTCTCGTAATTGTTGTTACCAGAGCGCTTTGAAAGCTGACGGGAGCGAAATCGCTCGCCGCTCCCGTGTATTTTTTTCGCTGGTAACAAGTATATGCAATTTAAAACATGTGGGTCAAACGGTTCTTGAGTTATCGTTGACCGTAGCCAAATGTTGACGGACGGACGGATGTACGACGGACGACACCCCATGACAATAGCTCATCTTGACGATGTCAAGGCGAGCTAAAAACAGGGAATGGTCTGCTGTTGATGCTGCCTACCTTTGTTTCCACAATGGGTTTCTGCTGAGGAGGTGTTGGATGTACAGGTGGCGGCGAGCTAGCAATGGGTGTCAGAGGTGGCGGCCCTGGCACTGTAGCATAACATAACGACGATGCGATGTATGTAGATGCAGTCACAAAGAATCACAGGAACGTACTCTTGTTAGTGCAACGGAAACGATGGTTGAGAATTGCAAGAGATAATGTTGTAATCGTTGCAGACAGCGTACAGTAGTGCTATACGTCAGAACATATTCTACAGTTTAGAAATGATAAGCATAACAGTATGTAGCTAGTAGTGACAGGCGACGACTGGTGGGAACGTACGCGGTGCCTTGTGCTGCTGCTGAGGTGGAGATTTGATCGGTGCAGGTACTGCTACTGCACTTGGCTTGCTGTTGGGTTGCGGGGGTAACTGGTGGGTAGCAGAGGGCTTCAGCTCTGGCTCTACCTCTGCTTCAACCTCTGGCAGCTTGCTGGCAGGTGGCGATGGAATCGACACCGGCACTGCAGTGTGAACTTCTGCAAGTGTGCAGACAATTAGAATTGTAGCCTAACAGTGCAATTCCATTATCAGTAGAGCATTATATTAGTAACAAACTGTGGTAAGCACACAGTCAAACCTGTGTTAGCGGACACCTCTATCGAACAGACACCTTTCTATAAAGGATACTCATGATGCTGAGTGGCAGTTGTATGGTGAATCCACCTCTATCGAATGAATACTTGTCCTATGAGGGACACTTTGGTGCATTTCCCTTGAATGACCTGCACATACAGGTGTGACTTTAGCTGGAAAGTGGCAACTCTCAATAGTACCTGGCTCCACTACTGCTGCTGCTGCTGCTGGTGGTGGTGGTGGTGGTGGTGGTGGTGGTGGTGGTGGTGGTTGCTCATTTGTTGCTTCGGCTGCTGGAGGCAGAGGTACGGCTGGCTTGCTTGCAGCAGCCTGCAAGCATAAAAGCACTCGCTCAGCAAGTACTCAGAGAAGGTGTGTTCACGTCAGTTGTATACAACTATTAAATATGTGTTGTCTCGCGTGCATGCTTACCTGAGGCGCAGACTTCGCTTTCTTCTTAGCGGGAATCTCTGCAATAGTGTGAATGTAAACTTCACTACAAAATATCACCTCACGTATCTAGCGTCACACAAACGCGAGTTCTGCATCCACACACTACACCTCGGATCGCTGAGTTAACAAAGTACATTATTACATTAAGTACTTTTTTTTTATTCGCTTGTTATATTTTACCCAATTATATCTCTACGCAGCATCTTCTACGAAGACCAAGGTATCACATACGGAAAATACTGCACACAAGCATAATGATAATTTATTCATTTTTAGTGTGAGTGTACATCGAAATGTTCACATACACACAGCAATACATATAATACACTAGAACAACGATGACTGTAGAAGACATCACTACAAACTATTCAATGGAAAGCATCGTTAAACATCCTGACGTACAACAAAAAATGTAGTGCGTCGCAAATTGATAGATGCGCCTCGTACCTGATTCGGAGTCACTACTCTCTGATGAGCTGGAAGAGGAGGAGCTGCTGCTGTCACTGTCAGAAGATGAAGAACTGCTTATGCTCACCTTGGCACTAGCTGGCGCCACCTGCTCCACCCCATTCTTATCTGTGACAAAGAAAACCCTCGTTTATTACCCTTTTTAGAACAAAACATATTGGTTTAAATTACACAATGGCATTTTTCTAAGACCATAGTCCATTTTTGAGAACTTTCCAGACGTGTAAAACATTATAAAATTCTAAGAATTCATGTTTCAACCCTGTGACAACACTAGTATCAACTAGAATTATGTTGTAATTTATAATACTGCACAAGACGCCAAGTATGTTTGTGACAAACTAAACATTGACTGGCATGAAACCGACATGAGATTAATAGATCTGTGGAATAATTACCTTTCTTTTGTTTTTTCGTCGGTGCAAGCTTGCCCCCAACATCTTCCAACTGTTTCTGGATATCCTCTCGCTTCTTCTTCAAAGCATCCTCCTTTGTAGTTCCTGGTTTTTGAACTAACACAACATTAAATTAAAACATCAGACATGGATCATGGAAGCCACGGAAATGGAGACTAGAAACAGAAAACATTCCCCTCCTCCAATAGTAATAGATTTCTTCTACTCGAATTAGATGAATACGGACGGACCAATACATTCGATTACTAAAGGAAAGGTAATAGGATCCACGGAACATTTTCCCACGACAGCAAAAGTTTGGCTCAGTACTAGTAGCAACGATACACCAATAATTCGGCCCAAACACAGTGGTTTCATGACACTGATTGACAAAAGCTACCTGTCTATCATTCCAAGATGGATAAGTCTTCTCACACGTCAGTACCTTTAAGGGTTTAGAGTTAATACAACCGCGTAGAGACAGTGACTGCATCACCTCACGATGCTGAAGAGCGCGTTTGTGCAACTCACCGTATTTCTTCGGCTTCTTCTTCAGCACAGACGACACGTAGGCTTCCAGCTCCCGCAGCGTCGACGCCTTCAGAGTCTCAAAGTCGATCTCGATCTCGTCCGGGTTGGAGTCTCGCAACGACGGCTCCCGCGATTGGATAATGTGCACGACTTTGCCGAGCTTGTCCCCTGCAAGGCAACCCAACAACAACCTTACCTCCGATACTCCCCCCTACTACCATTACCTTTACGCTACTACTCACCCTGCATAGCAGCCACCGTTGTAGCTACGCCAGTCGGCAATAGCCAGCTCTGGTGTTGGCCGACCGGCATGCAGTTTTAAATAACATCCTTCCGACCGGCACAAAAATGATTGAGTTTGTGTAAAATTACCTTCAAAATAGTGAGCATTCTACAAATAATCACAACTGATACATTTAGAATTAATTTAAAAAACAACTCTGAGTTTAATCTCAACAATAATTATGCATAATATCATCATCTGATCACATCGTACAGCGCACAGTACATGCAGTATAGCTGGCTAAGCACCATGTTGCTATTATAATAATTTATGCATATCACGCAATCACCGACTGATATTAGCCGACACTAAAATTGTCCTGGCTACAACCCTGGTAACAGCCCATATATACTGTAACATATAGTATACAGTCTATATAGTAGTGTGTACAGCAGTGTAGATCCTTGGAAGGTAAGTGTGTGGGCTATCACACACAATGCATAGGTAATAGAGCTATTCGTCCGCGTGAGATAACCATGCTCCATTTGAATGCTATTGCTAGAGCAGTCACATTAAAACAGTTTGCACCAAGTAACCACCCAAACGGTCGATCTAGCGGCACTACTATACGAATGGCCCACAACAACACCGACTTGCTAGTTACTGCCCGACAATCACGCTAGAACGGTTAGGTCAACCTTTAGTTTTGTGACTAACCCGGCAATTTGTTGATGTCTAGACTCAGCTGTCTCTTCTCATCGTAGCTCATGGGTCGTGTCACACCCTCATCCTCCTCGCTATCACACGGAAGCTGAGCAGCAGCAGGGGGCACCACTGGCTTGTTTCCTTTCCCTGATGTTCTACACGAACAAAAGGCGATCGATCGTTAATGACCAACTCTTGTATTTACAGATTCCTTCAAACACACCGATTTAATGCTTTCCAACAACAGAAATTGCAAAACTACACGATATGGAAATCTGTGGAACGTAATAATGAAGCCTAAGGTTTAGCTTAAAGGGCTGCGACGAGTAACACTAGGCGTCACAAATCGAGCGACTTAAACATAAAGACGCATCTGCTGGAAGCATGCTCACTTGTTGCCGCTAGCTCGGCGCTTCGGCGTTGCCTTCGCGGCTGGAGCCTTGCTGACCACCGGTGACACGGGCGTAGCAAGCGTGACCGCGGCAGTAGGAGCGACGACAGCCGGTGCTCGCCCTCTCCCCTTCCCCGTCTTCCCGGCCGGCTTAGCGACGGGAGCGAGGACAGCAGCAGGAGGGACGGGAGGAGGCAGGGGGGCTGGCATGGTCTCCATGGGCTCATTGTCCCAGCCAGCAGCGACCGCGGCAACGGTAGCCTCGACGGAAGCCGACACTGATGCGGGCGTGACGGGCACCGGCTTAACAGGATGGGAAGCAACAAGGGCCTCTCCTGTACTCCTCCTCCTCCGCGTCTGCACTGCAGTAGGTTTCACCTCTGCCTGGACTGGCATGTGGGGCAACTCAATCTGAAACAGAGACGAAGCTTGTGGAAGGGAGCAGAGACCAACTTAACAAATCGTCTTTTAGTTCCAGTACCAATCTAAAAACTTGATCTGAAATATAGGGCAAGCTCATGCAATTGGCGAATACCGTCTCGTATGGAGTTAGGGAGGCGTTAGGGAGCCTGTCTTTTCAACTTTAAACCCCAGTATTTTTTATGACAGGTACACTATACCAAGTTCCCTATGTGTCTGCACCAGATATCCCACATACAGTGGCACAGGCTGGCACCCCCTGTGACCCACAACAATTTACTTGACTCTGCCAAAGATGTACACGTGTTCCCCCCTCCTAACAACTACCCGGGGGACCGACTAAAAAAGGAGGAACGTATGAATTACCGGCTCAATCTTCACAATAGGTCTCTCTTCCTTTACTTCAATCTTCTTCTCCTTGTGTTTGTGCTTTTTCTTCTTTTTGTCCTTCTTACTGGTGTGTGCAGACAGCTGAGCTAACTGCTCATGTACTGCCTTCAACTGTAAATAAATAGCAAGTGTTTAGCAGACAGGAGGGTTTTTTAATACAATTTATGATACAAAATACCAATGCATAAAATTACATAATACAAAATTACAAAATACTATTTTTCTTGCTAGCCACAATAGGTAGCAGCACAGGAATGCCAAACTAATATACCTAATAACCGGTACGCAGCATATGTATGCAGGTTTACACGTACTATACCCGCTATGCATTATCACAGTGTTAACAATAGAATATACAAGGCACTATTACAAGCAGCACCTCCGGTATACATTGAGGAACAAGGTTTTGCAGGAACGGTAATATTTTAGGGAGCACCAAAGCAGCTCAGAAAGCCTAGAGCAGCACAAGGGTGGGCAGGCACCAGCACCAGCATAGGTATGCAGCGTTATAGGTACGCAATATTAGAGATATGCATCAGCGTTACAAGTACGTTAATGACCTGCACTCACCTGTGACTGTAGCTCCTGCAGCCGGTGTTCCCTCTCGTCGTCACTATCCTCGCTGTCAGATGACGACGACGATGACGACATCACCTCAGGCTTCTCCTCCTCTGACTCATCATCTGACGGACCCTCCGGCATCTTAGCATAAAACATCTCAAACACATCCTGCCGGAGGGGAAAATAATGTCAAATCAATTATGCACCGCCGACAAAAAATACACAACACCCTATATTACAGCAGCCTATGTTTACCCCCTTGTTTAGCACCGGTGGAAAACACAATACCATCCATTATACTGCTGGGGAAATGATAGGCGATGTGGAAATTGTCTCCGGATAAACAAGCGACCATCACATTATACGCCAGGTGTGACAACATTGCTGAACATACCTGCAGCTTTCTCGCCATGGCGACAACATCGTGATCGGGAGGGTTATACTTGTAGCAGTTAGTGAATATCAGTCGAACGTTGCCTGCAAATTCGTCAGCTGTCTTGTACTCTTTGTTGTCAAGTTTTTGCTGCAAACGAATGTGTAACAATTTATACGCGTGGTAAAAATTCCTGACCTATCTCTACAGAATGCAGTTCCACTAAACTACCACATGGAGAACTATGAATTTAGCTAGCTTCACTCGACACTAATGAACTATTTAGTATTAACTAATAGTATTACGCCAGCAGCGCACGTGTATAATTCCTCTTAAACATTTCATATCCGTTCACCATCTTTCTTCTCTCATTGTATTCTGTGCTCCCACCCCTACTACTACTGACTACTGCTTTCCTCTATCTTCGAAATCAGAGACTACGCGCTTAGACGACGGAACCTAAACCCGCATCTAAGCTATGCAGTGACACTGGGACACACTTGCGCAAGCAATAGAGTAGGAAGAGATATTCCTTCCTGTGTATGCACATAAAGACATTCAGGTGAATAGAATAGCCTGACCGACTCATCAGCTCCACGCCAAAACCTTAAAATAAGACCCTAACTAATTTTAATTAATAATCAAAAACTCTTTTCAAATACTCATTGCTGTGAAAATCTTCACATTCTGTGCCAGATCCAGCATTGGCATTCGTTCACCACCAACTATTACTCACCTTGACTGTACCCAAGTCCATCGGGTGTTTGATTATGTCGTGGTAGTCATGGAGACAAAGCTGCTCAGCATCCACCGGCTTATAAAACGGCCACGCGTAACTCTGCAAGCAAAGTTCACGCGCGCAAATTACGTCAAAGCAGTTGCACATCATGTAATCAGGAGTAAATAATAAAGATTCTCTATATTATTCTTTTATACTATTATTATTATTCTCATTATTTCTTATTCTTCTTCTTCTCTTTCTGATTCTTCTTATTATTCTCTATATTATTATCTTATTATTCTCTATATTATTCTCTTATAATTCTCTATTATTCACTCCTGATGTAATGTATACGTGTTAACAAGCAGACGTGGGCAACAAATTTGGCCAGCCCAGCATGAACAAATAGAGGAAGTCGATGCTCAAATAACATCATCACATAAATAATGTAACTATTGTTACATAAACTGTTAACATCATCGTATAGATCTTCATAACTCGGGGATTCCTTGCAGTGGAAGAATATGATGCAAACTATCTCTAAGCTGTCTACACGTCGAGGTCTCCCGCTATATGCCATGCTCTAACGTTGAGGTGATGTCCAATACAACTACAGCAATTATACACAATGGTATGAAAAAAAACATAAATGATTTGGGACTTACAGCGTGCTTCTTTGCCACCAGGTCCTTGACGATTTGGCTACAATATTTGAGCTGTTCAACAACTTTAACCTTTTTCCCCCTCTTTTGTTGCTTCTGCAATGGCGGACGATATGAAGGCATTATAGGCAACAGATCCCAGTGATGCAATAGTACATTTAAAAAATAATGCTGGGCAATGAAATGCTGCAGTTGACATTTCAGTGCACAAAATAGTTCAGTAACCAGACGTATAGCTCCATTAACCACTGTGTTTGTTTTGTTGTTTTCATTGCGCTTAGGTTGAATTATCGATCACACTCGGGCCACTACATTCACCGGTTAACACGTTTATGTAACAAATTCACACAGCTCACAAGCAGCCATAGACACTAACGCGAGCTACTCATAACTGCGCACATAACCTGTACCTCACCAAGCAGCAATATCCAAGGGGGTGTCGTTAACTCGCTCAGCTGGATAGCACAGCTACATACTCCAGTAACGATTACTGTATACGCTGTATATTTCGCGGTGGTTTAATTTTCGCGAATTCTGTGAACGCGCCTCCAACCCGCGAAACTATATGTACGCGAAAAATATGGCGTATACAGTACATTATGCAAATCTACAGAGCTCTACTCTAGACTCATATCCTTACGAGATTGTCATGAACTAACGTTGTGCCCGTGCGAGTAACTTAGCCCTCGTTGCGTACCTCCATGTGAACTTCCACTGGGGACTCTAGCAACTCCTTTGTGGGCTTCTTGATCTGACGGCCACTCTCACGTCGCGACGGCTGCTTTGGCGGCGAGGGGGCGCCACAGGACGGCGCGAACACAGGGTCTGCCTCGATCGCCGTGGTGGGCGTCGTCGTGTCCGCTTTCCGCTTCACTCCTTTCTTTGGCTGCAAAGAAACGTGCAGCGATCCCCTTCATTATGTATTTGCATTTCTACTCTGACACGATTACATTGAAATGGCACTCCGCAACAAAACAACACCCTACAAAATACCTTTTTTTTACTTCATTTGTGGAGTATAGGTCTGCAACAACTATTTTTCTTAGGTCTGTTAACAGGCTTCATCGAGCAAAGCTACTCACTCTATCACAGATAAGGTTTTTAAAGTAGATAAACCTAGCAACAAAAAGTCTACATACACCTACGGTGAGCATACTTGCAGTATGCAAATATCACAAAATGTTCTCATTGAGCCAGAATGTGCTCTGAACTAGAGGAATTTGAAACAACGTCCGACAGAGTTTTTCGGCGTATAGATACACATAAATTATGTTGAGCGAGGGGGGTACGCTAGCGCAAATAGTTCCTGGATAGATAACACTATATATTTGTTTGCTGATTGCATAAGTAATGTGGATAACATATTAACATGCGATTTAAACAAATTTCAAAATTTTGTACTAAACAAACATATAATAATGAATTACAACTGGTTTTATCATAGAAAAGAACTGTCATCGATCGCTCGGCTGTGTCCCGAATGTGTAAACATCACTGTGGCACTACTTTCGTAAGACAAGTACTCTCGTTTAGATTTTGTGAAGAAATGTTATGAAAGTAACAATACAAATGAGGTGTAGTGAATTTTTACAACATAGACAAGCTCACAGTAGGTATATCTATGCATTTTGCTGTGAGAACATGCCGTTTTAAACACCTTTCGAAACACCGAGAAGACGTAAGACCCATAGCTCAAGGGTATGTAACCCCTCACCTTGGTCAGGACTGGCTGTGCCTGGGTCATCACTGGTGTCTTCACGGTCGGGGGGGACGCAGATGCAGAAAGTTGAAGCATCTCGCCACCAGAGAGAGGCGCGTGTTTCCCGCCAGCGTGCGCGTGGCTGGCTCCCCTCGTTGGCGGACCATGCTTTCCACTCGCTGTAGTAGGGCCTTGGCTGACAACCGCTGCTGGTGGGACATGTTTCCCGCTCACTGCTGCAACTCCCGCTGCTGACGGACCATGTTTTCCACTCGGCGGAGCACTGCCCTGGGTGGCGCCCCCTGCGCTAGGACCGTGTTTCCCACTCACCAACACAGCACTGTGGGTGGCGCCACCTGCCGAGGGCCCATTCTTGCCGCTCGCCGAGGCAGGAACCGCGTGCTTTCCGCTCACGGCTGTGCCGGCGCCCGCTGCCAGGGGAGCCTGCTTGCTTCCGAGAACAACGTGGGCATGTTTACTGAGCATTGTCGCAGCACCCTGCTTGCTCCCCAGCATCACCTGGGGGTCGAAGCTGATACCAGCTCGCAGCATTGGGATCGGCCCAGATTTGCCAATGGGTGGCGCTGCTGTCGTCGCCGACTTCTCGGCGCCAGCATTGATCGTTTGCTTCGCAGAGCTGAGAGCGGTGGACTTGGCAGAGTGTGTCGCTGCACCCTTCGCAGGACTCACAACCACTTGCAGCGGCCGCAGCGTGGGCGGTGTCGTCGGTGCGTCTGCCACGGAGGCAGTCAACTGCTGCTGCTCCTGCTGCTGCTGCTGCTGGTGCTGCTCCTGCTGCTGCTGCTGCTGCTGCTGCTGCTGCTGCTGCTGAGGGCAGTTCTGCAACAATGACATGCGAGTATTATGTAGCCGCCATTCTTTGCGCAAACCTCTAGCAAATCGTAAGGGTATACCGTTAATATCCTTATACCATAGTACAAAGATGAAATAACAGGAATGCAATGAATAATAAAAAGGCAAGTCTTAATGTGGAAACTCAGTATTCAATACAACAATTGTGCTGCAATCATTTGCTTGATTCTGTACCGGACCGATAGATAGATATTAATGTATGCAAGCTGTGCTCAATAGTTACACAGAGTTCTCTAAAGCTGCCACAGAAAGAAGCATTGTCTACCTGGGAAGCCCGGCATACACGCACCTGCGTTCTCGTTGCAGGCAGTGCCGCCGCAGTTGGCTCAGCATTTGCGTAAGACGCCGCAGCTTTGGGACCAGCCGTGGACAGACTTGGTGCACCCGGAGGCATCAGTACTACTGGACGACCTTTGCCCTTGCCACGACCCTTGGCTCCTTTCGGTGGTACAACGATCTCAGTCTCGTTGGGTGGCATCTGTGCTATCTTGGTTAGAAATAGCTTCTCGAGTGCCTGCCCCATCAAGACCACGTCCTAGAACATATCATGACAGCATATAAAAAAAGGTTAACTGATGGTAAAAGTTTTAGCCTTAGGACAATAAATGTTACAGACCGTAGAGCATGTAGGGATTAGTGAAATATGCAGCATAAACCAGGATCTGAAAACACATGGGTTTGCGATGCAGAAGAATGTATGCTCACAAGTTGCTAAAAATTAAAAACTAATCTATGTTTTGAGGGATTAAAAATGCATCAATTTTTTATATTGTTACAACAAAACTAGGGATGAAATGAGACAGGATTACCTAAACTTTTATTTTTTAATTAATTTATATATATATATCAGAAGTAGATAATAGGGAAGGAGTGTGACCTCAAACAAAAGGCAGCTACTAGCGACTCTAGCGCACTCTTGCTCCCTCGGCGATGCGGTGTGGCTCGCTAGTAGCTGCCTTTTGTTTCAAGTTAGGGGGTTTATACATTCGGTTTGCTGGCAACAGAATGGATAATCATGAAGTACGTTTTAGTCTGTATCTCCGGATTGCGGGTGTATACGAGGAAACGATTTCGCACGATGCTAGGCGAATGTACTGTGTACGATTTTAGCTCAAGTTGGTTGAGTTACACGTAGTAAATCGTAGGTATTCTAGGGCTAGTAAATGACGAACTTCCCTTGTTTATTGAAGTCGCACTCCTTCCCTATTATCTACTTCTGATATATATTGTACAACCTTTTCATGTTGCATCTAATCTAGTACCTCCAACTATTTACAGTTGTAACAACTACACCAACATGCCCTACACAATGTTTGCCATTGTGATTGGCACATGATTACAATTGCAGGTGGTGGGAAAGTCTTATGTGATAAAGTATAAAATTTATTCACTCGGATAGCTTCACAAAAAAACTTGACAGACATTTTATTAGCTTCTCAACAACAATGAAAGATAATGCAGAGATATATCGCACCTCGCCCGGCTTGTTGTACACGTAACAGTTGGTGAACATGGTGTTGAAATCCCTGATGCATTCTTCTGCACTGTAGTACCACCGGAATTCCAACCGCTTTTTGATTGTGCCCAAGTCCATTGGTTCTTTCGTGATTTTATGGTAATCCTGAATACAGAAAAATATGTGTGATTTCTTTTGTCGATTACTTTATCCTGCTTCTCAACTCAGGTAACTCAGTGTAATTTTGCTCAAGCATGAATTTCAAGTAACAATAAACTCTAGATATTAAAGCAAGCATTTCTCGCATTTTATCTAACCGTTTTCATAATTTTTTGACCGTTCTGACAGTTACTGGCACACCTTGCGTAACACCAAGTGTATATAATAAGGCCAACGTGTCGAGAACACTCGCACATAAATCTTTTCAATAACATGTGCACAAATCGACATTTCAAATTAGATTTGTTTACATATGTCAACAAACTTAGCGTAGGATTTTTGCTCTCACGGGATGCCATCGACCAGTACGCTGTCTCTACATGTTACCTTTGTCTACATTTTGAGATGTGTATCAGTCTATAAATACTTGTGTCACGTAACTACGTGCACTTGTTTTTTGTGGGTCTATTTGAAAATGCCATTCTCACAAATCTCAAGATAGCAGATGCACGTTTGTTTTTCATTTATTGTTTTATAGCCTATAACAGCACAAACTTGTAATAATTTCTATGCTGAAGTAATCACTAATCAGTAATATGTATGCTGACAGGTGAGACTAAATTTGTCTTCATTTATTAATTTCTCAATTTATTTATTAAACGGTCGTTTTAAATTGGCAAGTAAGTTTCCTAAATTACGTAAATAACTAAAACAAAATGTACATTTAATAAAATACTTGTATACTGCCATAAGATATACATAACCAGGGCGCGAAATTAGCACCGGCCCACCGGCATATTATTTGGAGGGCTGGCAACATTCCCAAAACACCGGCCCTCTGAGCCGGTGGTTTCAGCCATGTTAGCGAAAACCTACATTTTTATTTATATATAGCATTAATGAGCAAATCGCCTACAATACTGTTTCACCTGAAGGATATCACGCCATAATTTAAAATTTACAACAGTTTACAAATTTGAAATAAAGAATGCAAGAGTGAAACATAACATTGTCATTGCCAAAAAAACTTCAGGTGTCATTCACGATCTGCATTATAGTCTGCTCAACAGCTAGTATGCGATGCCGCATGCTACAACATTTTTCAGACAAGCAAGAGTCAATAAAAGTCTCATCTTTATTTTTGATTAAAAAAATGGTGACAGATTATGGTGAGGGCTGGTAAAAAAAACTGCTGTTACCAGGCCTCTGAGCCAGTGTAAAAAAATCTTAATTTCATGCCCTGCATAACACAGTATAGATAAAAACTGTAAACATCACGGTCTCAGGACTACTTCATATTATGTATTAAGAATAACACTGAAGTACTGGATGGATCACAAAGTGTAGCAAACGTAGACAGCGGCTAACTTACAGGTAGGCTGAGTCTGACAGCATCAACAGGCACTTGGAATGGCCAGGAAAACTGGTGCTTCCATACTGTTTTGAGCACGACTTTCTGGATGTAGTCCAGCTGGTTTGTGTGCCTAGTCTTCCTGTTCTTTGAGGGAATATATGGAGGCTGAACAACACCTGGTGAAGGATAGGTGGGCTGTTCACCTGGGTCCTGTGAGTAAGATTAAAAACTTGTTTCAAACTGTGTAAGGCCTGTTTGTTATGAGGATGTAAAGCTAAAGACACAAAAACACCCCCCCCCCCCACCATGTGAACAGTTCTCAGATGCATGCACACACACTTAGCCATGAAGATGAAAGGCATACGAGTGAGCAGAGCAATGTTCAACTTTATCAGATAATTTGGCTCTATCGGTAACGGTAGCAAAAAAATTTGAAACGTAGACTTTAGAAGGTATGCTCTACACATAAGCCGAGTTGCACAAATCGCATCAAATCACATTTAAAAAGGATTTTCAGTGTTGGTGCACTAAAGTTTTATGTTAATCCAGCTAGACTAGTTTCAGAAAATTACAAATACAAGTAGATTATTTAATCGAGTTAAATCAAAATGGCTACTGATTAGCACACCAGAGACTAAACGCTAAAGCTAAAAATTTATCAGGAAAGTAACTAAAAATAAATGAATCGAAATCCATAACTCAGCTTGTAAAATATAGCAGTTAACTTTAAACTAAAGGCATAATAAGCCCATTGATTATGCAATGTTGACGAATGCTAGAGTAACTGGCACCTTGTATAGTTAATAAGTACATAACCTAATAGCCAAATGCGTATTAGTTTGTCCAATATCACTGCTGGTTACATTACAAACAAGACTTGAAATCGGTAGTTGATATGTATCAACGTATCATTTACGTGCCGTAAATGTCATCCAGGAGTCAAGCGATGACGTAAACATTTGTGCGGCCCGTATGTTTTGGACGCCAGATGAAATGGAGGTGTCAGCGGCGTAACCACGGCCACGGACTAAACATGGAAATGGAGTAAAACACACGTACTAATCACGGACGCACGTGGACAGCCCTGACAAAAAGTTACTTATCACGAGCGTCCATGTTTACAAAATCACTGATGATAGCATTGCGTACGGCCGAGCATGCATGCGAAAATGCACTATAAATCTGTATCACACCCGCTTCGCCGGCAGCGGTTTGAAACTGTAAACAACTGATTTTTGGACTGCGGATTTCAATTAGGCATTTCTTAGTAACCAGCAGTGACATTGGACAAACTAATACGCGTTTGGATGTAAGGTTATGTATTTGTTAACTACACAAGGTGCCAGTTACTCTAGCATTCGTCAACATTGCATAAGCAATGGGCTTATTATGCCTTTAAACACCATAAATGCATCATAATACAAAATCTTTGGAAAATCAATAAAATATTTTTTAACAATATGTTGTTACAAGATTAATTGCTTCTCAAACTGTTATAGCTCCAAATTTTCATAAGAACAACCCATGTTTTCTTTTAGAAAGCATTAAACTTACTACAAAGAGTTCACTATATCTCACGAGAAACAATCGATACAATAAATAGAATGAAACAATTAAGCCTGTGCCGACCGACTCGAGACTGACACTACTCACAGCTGGAGTCTCTCCATTCTCCATTGGCGCTTCGTTGTTCATCCAGCTTGCTGCTCACAAGATTCTACAACGACATACAAAGGTGAGTGTCAACGTTTGAGGTAACATGTTTAGATGTATCAAGGAAATCACATGCAATTTTGATTAACGCCTGCTAAGAGATATCAGCCCAATCAAATCAAATTCATGACATATTTAGTTTCACTTGCTGTCTTTCGGCTTAACATCATTCACTCCCAATTTAAATTAATTAAATTCAATACACAAATTATATAAAATGTGCCATTACTGTATTTTTTTCTATACTACACCATGAATCTATTTATTTTCAATTAATTTATCATTTCAGTCTATATAAGCTAAATGTCAGCTACAAATACACAGGAACCTTTACTATTAAAGGAAAAGGGGATCAATTGATCAACTATGGTGTTCAGTAACATTTAGCTGGTCAGTTTGAACGCAAGATGATGCAATTTCCTTACTCAATCGGCAAACCAAGAAAATATTCCCCGTTATTATAATGAAAAGAAAGTTACAATAGATGTTTACTCCTTAATATAAAATAATTAAAAATTTCAACACTGCAGCTTGTGGTGTTTGCCGATGACAAGAAATACTAAGCGAGAATTGTGCGAATGAATTTTAAAATTTCAGATAATCCCGTTGAAGAAATAAGCGGCCATTTATGTCTAGTATGTGCGGTGGTTTTCATGTACACTCCATGCCAACTGTAGTAACAGTTACTTAATAATTACATGTGACCTTAGAGCCAGTTTTGAAAAAATTTACCATGCAAACTTCCACAACAAATACAGTACGCTTAATAATAATATTAACAGAGATACAATGTTTCTATGCTATAGAATAAGTTAAATTACACAGATTTGTATTTTAAACAATCTTAAAACAATCGTATCACGTGAGATTTTGAGGATATATTTAGCTCTGTTAGTGTTAGTGTTAGTACGGTATGTAGTTTCACATTCAAATTTTATAACAAAAATTTTACAATGTTATCAAGGAAACTCGTGACAATGTAGTCAATTTAATGACAGCAGATCGATGAACGTACTACAATCTACACACCTAATATCAGGAACAAAACACAGCAAGGCGAGCATGTCAGTTCACAGTTGCTTAAGCCTAGTAAGGATCACAATTCGGTTAAATTCGATGCAGAGGAAATATCCTAATTCCTATTGGTATTACCCTAAACTAAGAACTGATTTCACTTGGTTGTATAACCATTACTGGCATTAGAGACAAAGGATAATAAGATAAGAATTCTTGGAAATTGGGATGTCTACTGTATAATTAATATTAATTTTATTATACGTATATATACACACATATATAACTGTACTCAGTACTGTTTATCAGGTGCCGTAAACATAGTTTTTAATGTGTTTTTATTAATATCGCGATTTTACACGATTCTGTGATGAAAGAGAAATTACCTGGAAGTAGTAAACAACGATTCCGCTCTAACTAAGAGGCTATATTAATTAAAGTTTTCGAAATTTTACACATTTTATAGTCACGAACAAAAGACAAGCCGTCCAAGATGGAGGGTTACGACTGTGGCGCCCTCCCTCGTCGAAGGTCACGTGTCAAGCGCTACGGTGTCTGAGAAGATAAATCGTTAATTATTGTACGTACTTTTAATGTTTTATAATATACGAAGAACAAATGGCAGAAATGATGATTTAACGATACTTTATATAAATTAAAAACGCAAGTCTTGAGCATTTAGTTGTATGCGAAACATAGTTTCTGCAGCCCCGTTGATAGAAATTAAGAACCTTTTTTAAAATCTTTTTTACAATTGCTTTTATATACTTATATTATACATAAAAATGATACTTTGTGCCAGTTGTGGTAGTGTTGCGTTCTTGGAATGACTGACTTCGGCAGGATATATTAATAAAGCTGCATATTTGTTTTAATTTCCAGGCTGTACGGCTTGGAATGGCTATGGAATAAATTACCTCCAACATCCGTCATATATCCTATATACCTCAAAACCGTTCAGACTCCCAAGGTCGCGGTCAGGTCTATCCTGCGGATGTGCGATGCCCCGCGCAATAAACTGGACTGTGCTTTGATATGGATCATTAACCCAGCTGCTACTGTTTTCTTCCCGCGTCTTTCTTCATAATGTCTGTTACTTGCAGCACTTTTGCAACTGATCCTGTCCACATATCTTCTTTGCATTTTATTGCTATATTTGTTCTATACAATTATATCAGTCACTGACTCTATCACATACCCTGCTCCTTTTATCTTCGCGTGTTGCACGCATATGGTTGTTAAACCACAGCAACGTATTTCCTCAGTAGAATTGTTCTTTTAATCGACTCAGTTTTAGCATCCTTGAGTGGTTATTGTATTTATGTTTTAGTATTTGCGTTTCTCGCATGTGTACGTCAGTCGCCCTTACTAGTTGCTACGGGTTTTTCGTTTATTGTCGCCTTGTACAATGTTATAATATAGTGTGTGTGATATAATTTTAGTAAACGTAGGCCTACATACACTTGGGGTAATTAACTGCATGCCCTGCCTGGTGTCGTCGCGTGTTATTTGTTAAACTAGCACTTTTAGTTAAGAACTGTTGCACTGACGCAGGGGCGCAAATCCAGGGTGGGGGACAGGGGACATGTCCCCCACGAATTTTCAGAGGGGGGGGACATCATATCAAATGTCCCCCCCCCCACGATTTTGGATCACCATGATTTTTTGATGTGTAGAGTCGTGTGTGGTGTGTGTGTGTGTGTGTAGTGTGTTGTGTGTTGTGTGTGTGTGTGTTGTGTGTGTGTGTTTGTACAGGTTGAGAACCTTATTATTGTGTGTGATGAGTGCTGTTCAACGAATTGCTTCGTTCCCTTTTTTTCTTTTTTTGCGCAGCTTTCATTTCATTCAAGACGGCATTTGAGGATAATAATGATCAATCACAACTTGAAGAAAATGTGGCCTTGATAAATTTAGTACCGTTTCCTTTTTAACACGCTTTTTTTTCTTAATATTAAATAATTCTATGCAGAAATCATCGAGAGAAAGATGTTTATAAAAGTTAGGAGATATCCAATCCATTAGGACACCTCGATTCAGGATTAAGCTGGGAAACCCGAGCTATGTATTGGCACCAAAGAGCGACACTGAGTAACTGAGCATCAGTTTAAATAATGTATATTTTCATTGCAAATTGATGATATATATACACACATACAGGGGGGGCCACAGGGGGCAGGGAGGCGGGCGCCCACATTCCATGGCCTTTGCAAGGAACAAGGAAAGAAGAAAAAGAAAAAAAGAAAAAAAAATCGGAAAGAAAAAGAAGAAAACAGAAAACAGAAAGCATCTTGCCCAAATGTCTTGGCCAAATGACGGGTGGGGTGGGGATCACCCCCCCCCCTGCATTTGCAAGAAACAGGTAAAGAAGAAGAAGATTACTTGGCAAATAATAGGGGGCTCGCCCAATTATTGAGTGATTGTAGCCTACAAGCTGGACCCACTTTACTCGAAAAATCGAAAAAGTTAAGTGTCGAAATTCCCATCCATATAAAACCTGTGCTTAATTTGATTAATCGCGATGTCAAGGTGTTATTTCGCTTCGGGAGTCCAAAGTTGGGCACCAATCATTTATCGATGATGCCTGATTTCCCCGAGGCGGAAAGGTGGCACATGCTTGAGGGTGTTAAACAAACTGTATAAATTATAATTTACAACGTTCAGATGACCTCTTAATATACTCTCACATGCCTATCTTATTTTTACTCCGCCCACCGGATGGAGGGGAGGTTTTTGTGATCGGGTTCTGTCGTTTCGTTGTACACGTTAGCGGGTCTGTGCGTTCGGGTACACGTAGCGTGTTGTGTGAGGCGTTGTGTGCTGTGTGTGTGTGGTTGTGTGTGTGTGGTGTGTGTGTGGTGTGTTGTGTGCTGTGTGTGTGCTGTGCGTGTGCGTGCGTGTGCAGTTGTGGCGTGTGCGTGTGTTAGTCGTGTGTGTGTGTGTGTGTGTGTGTGTTGTGTGTGCGTGTATGTGTGTGTGTGTTGTGTGTCGTGGGTGTGTGTGTGTGTTGTGTGTGTTGTGTGTGTGACGCGATCGATATTAGCGCGGTTCAGCGATGCGAGCCAGCCACAGCCGGCCTGCATTGCTGACTGAGCGGCGCGAGCGAGGCATACATGTACGCTGGACCGTATATCGCTGGGGTTATATCGTGTGTTCGTGAGTGTATGGGTATGGGCGTAATGTCGCTGGCCGGAGGTATGCCTCGTCCGTGAGTGGCCGCCTGGTCTTAGTATTTATGTTAGTGTGTGTATGCGCACGCGCGCGCGCCGCCAAGGCCGGCGTGGGGCAGTCTGGATGTGACCGCTGTGTTTGTGACTGTGTGTGTGTTGTGTGTGTGTGTGTGTGTGAGTCTGTGTGGTGTGTGTGGTGTGTGTGTTGTGTGTGTGCTGGTGCGACACTGTGCGTGCAGTTCATCGTCTCTCTCCGTGTCATGTTTTATCTATCCTCGCTTACATAATTACAAACAATATTTGGTGCAGTGCTACAGCATAGATTTAAGAGCAAATCACTTGCCCCGCCCACCCCCACAGTTTCCGGAAAGACCCCCTCTTTTAAAGCGTCCGTGTCCAGTTTCATAGCCATTGAATAATTCAACGAAATCTAGCTAGTTCCGGAGACCCCATGTTTCGAACATAGACGGTTCCAAGAGGGAATACACCCAACATTGCAACAAACATTAGTTCCAGAGACCACCAATATTTCCAGGTCTGAGTTAGTTCCAGAGCCCCCCCCCCCATTTTTAAGCTTCGCAGTGCGCACATATGCCAGATCCTAGCCCATACTGCAGGCCCGTAGGCCAGGGGGGGTTCGGGGCATTCCGCCCCAGCCAAGACAAAAAAAATTTTGGGAAATTTGCAAGAATTTACAACGCTCAGGATCGCCAGCATCCTTTTAGTGTAATATGTCGCACAAATCTCATCGCAGTGGGGAGGAGTGAACCGAGTGAACAACACCCCGTCCAACACCCTCACGCCGGCGCGGCTCCGGTCGCCTGTCGCTTCACCGTGCCTCGCTTAGCCCAGCAGGGCGTGTACAGGAGAGTCCAGGCGAGTCGCGGAACCCCCCCTTGCTCGGCGCAGAAAACGCATCATGAGGGGTTCTAATTTTGACAAATTTCTGGGGGAGGCCCCAGACGCCCCTCAGATGCGTTTTCTGCGCGAGCAGGAGAGGGGCTCCGGCGACCCCCTGGACCCCCTGTAACACGCCCCCTGCAAGACACCACACACACACACACCACACACACACAACACAACAACACATCACACACACACACGACATGCATTTGGTTATGTGATTAAAGATTACGAACAGGCGGGGGGGGTGTCCACATGCAGTATAAAATCAAGAAATCATAAGCAGAAAACCAATCATTTGGTGTTGAGGGCTGATCACAAATAAACTGTCCGTTGATTATTGTTTTGGTCCAGTCATGATCATATATGCGTGTATAATATGATCATCAATTTTGACAATGAAATTACATTATTTAAACCCGATGCTTCAGATTACTCAGTGATCCTCGTTTGCGTGAATATGCTAGCTCGTGTTCCGCAGCTATAATAACCTCTGAATCCAGTGTCTAATGTGAGTGAATATCTCCATAACTTCAATACAACATTAATTTCTTTTTGATGATTTCTGCATAGATTATCTTGATACAAGAAAAAAAAAAACGTGTTAAAAAAAGAAGACAGGTACAAACTTTTATCAGAGACACATCATCATTTTTCTCAAGTTGTGATGAATTCATTATTATGCCTTTCAAAATGACACTGACATGAAAATAAAAGCTGAGCAAAAAAAAGAAAAAAAAAGGGAAAGAGTGCAATCCGTTGACGCGACTATTACAGCACAACTAAAAAGGTTACTGCACTCACAAAGCAACACACAAACACACAGCACACACACACACACCACACACACACACACACACACCACACACCACAACCACACACACACAACACACACACACAACACACCACACATCACACCAACACACACACACACACCACACACACCACAACACAGCAACACACACAACAACACAACACACACCACACAGCACACACACACACACACAACACACACACACACCACGACACACAACTTGCCACAGATGGCACACAAAAGATCATGAGTGATCCAAAATTCGTCGGGGGGGGACATTTCCGATTATGATCGTCCCCCTCTGGAAAATTCCGTGAGGGGGGACATGTTCCCCTGTCCGCCCCCTGGGATATTGCGCCCACTGGCTTGCGCTACGTTACACGGGCGTGGGCGTGCGTGCGTGTTAGCGTACACGTGCGTGTTGTGTCACACGTAGCAAGTGCTGTGCGTGTGCACGTACAAGTGCGCAAGCGGCGTGTGCACGTTAACACGAGCATAACTACGAACCTCGCTTATAGACGAAGAAAGCAATCCAAGCTATGACAAAAAAAGCGTCAAGACGCGCGCTGTCTGTGTAGTATGGCTAATTATTTATATTATTTTTAGCTTGAAGGTAGTAAT